CAAAAATTGGAAATTTTTTTTTTTTTTTTTTTTTTTTTTTGTCTTTTTCCGTGTCCGGCAACGGATCGCAACCCTCAGTGTTGCCCCCGTACCGGACCGGGACCGGCAACGGGATCGCAACCCTCGGCGTTGCTCCCGTGCCTCGCTCAGCCAGTGAGCGGGAACCGGTCCGCATGTGGGATCCGAACCCTCGGACGGAGCGCTGCCGCGCTTCCCAAGCGGTGCACCATCCAGTGCGCCACCGGGCCGGCCCCAATAATTGGAAATCTTGACTAACATAGGTCATCACTGCTCACACATTAATAACAAAGCATGGTTCTTAAAAGTTACAAGTACTCCAGATATATTACACCATTGCAAAGGATGTGGGAGCTGGAGTTCTTGATAGAACAGTCTTAAGTGAAATTAATACAATAATTTTATTGAAAGTATTTGAGTACCAACTGTGGGCCAGTTCCCATATCAAGGGTCTGGAATGTTTGTCTTCTCCTCCTTTTGTCACTTGTTGAGATAAGGTCCATTTCAAATTTCATTTCTTTCATGAAGCAATTGCTCTTCACCCCCAAACAAAACCTTCCTTTCTGAAGCACTGGAGCACTTATAATCTACCTTTTAGTCGTTTATGAACTTGTCTGTCTTACTCCTCTCATTATATACGATATGATCCAGTTGGGAAATAAAAGCCTCAATGAGTACCTAACCCAGTCATCAGTTTGGGTTGAACTATAAAGTAAAATCACTTGAAAATTTTATTAAAAGCATTATCATACCAAACTAATATCTTCTAAGAATAAGTCTGTATTTTACTCATCCACCTGATGCACAGAGTATTGTGTGCTACAGGGAATCAAGTGTTTGAGTAAATGAGTCAGTCTTCCTTTTATTGAGGCGACAACCTAATTTTTAAATATCATTGTCATTACATAATTTTTTGTATTTAGGCTATATACCATGGAAACCACTTGCTTTGAATACAGCCTTGAAGGCTAGCTTTATTTATGGCTTGTCAGCATATACTTTCTGAATATTCTCAGTGTCTTCAGTCATGTGATAGGATGTGGACATGAAGTAAAAAAACTCACAATAAACACTTGCCAAGTCTGTTTGGGCTGAACTAAAATTTAGTTTTAAGTTTAAAATTTAGTTTAAAACAGTTTAAAATTGTTTTTAAAATATATACATCAAAATCTATGACCTGCCTAATGTTTTCTGAAAATGGAAGTATTATTGTTGGTGTAACTTGACCCAGGCTTTATTTAACTTTTTGTGTTTATATGTTGTTTCATATATTATTAATAGCCTACTTCTAATTCAGGTGTGTGATAGGAAAAGGAGAGAGAGGAAAAAGAGAAAC